TCAAACATTAGCATCAGTATATCCTTGTTGTTTCCACAATTATCTTCCTTAATACTAACCACAAAATACAATTTGAAGGAGTATTTTCTTTAACTCTTAACTTGCTTTGAGTTTTTTACATCAGCTGAAATTAAAAAAAAATATACAAGGAGTATTAGTCCAATGAAAAAAAACTAACACAATTTGCACTCTCCCGTCCATTTACAAATTAACAAACCAACTATGCTGAAAAGAAAAGTGAAAACCCTGCATGTGTAAATGTTGTAAGTCACAGATTTGTTGTTGTGGGTATTTTTCTTTCTTTCTGTATTTCATCCCGTGTACAACAGCAGTGGCACACTTCAGCTGGAGGCAGCCTGGCAAACACTCAAACAGTGGCTTGCTAAAAGGAGAAATTCTCAGACTGCTCTTTCTGGGACTTTCCTTCATCTGCTTCCTCATATTGGTAGCTAAACCTACAGTAAGAATATTCTAAATATTATGTGTATTTGTGGTTTTGGCATAAAACAAAGGGATTACTGAATTTCTCAGCGTTTTCATTAAAAGCTATTTTCTAAGATATTCTAAGGCTGCTTGGAACTGAATCTGAGGACAATTTTTAGATATTTCAGAGCTTTATGAAATGTCAAAAATGCTAAGTGATAAATGCAGCTTTTTTAACTCTTCCTTTTTCAGAGCTCACACATCCCAGAAAACAGACATTAACAAGAAAGTTTGTACAATAAATCATGGCTGAGATTGATAAATACAAAATCATTCAAAACCCATCAGTGAGCTCTTCAGAACACTGATGCCAGTATAATACAGTTCAGTTGCTGGATGAAATTTGCCTAAGCTCAGATGGGGTTATCTCATGTGCACATAGATTAACAAACCCATTGCAGTGACATTAGAACTTTGCAGCTCTAAATGTGAAGTGCCACAGACATCTGGCAGCAGTCCCACTGCAGGAAAAAAAATTTAAAAAATACATGTTTCCACCTTATAAAAAGCAAACTTGGCCTATCAAAAAGAATCAAGACAACACAAAAGTCCAAAGCACTGGCAAGCTGGTGTCACCTTGCTGCAGCCAGGTGACTGCTGTCACCAGAGCTGACATGATCCTGTGCTTGGAGCACGCTCTGAACACAGCTGTGACTTTAGACTAAATTCTGCATACCAAGGGAAGGATGTTTTCTTCCTCTCTGTCCCTTTAATGTTAGACCCTATCTTTAAGACACTTAATCCACCCAGCTAAGGGGCATTGATCTGGTGTCTCATGCTGACCTCCACATTTTCTCAGTATCACCTGCACCTAGATATTTCCCATCCCATTGCAATCCAGAACATCCTTAAGTGGGATTAAGTGCCTTAAGTGGGACTGTCACACATTTCTCATGAGCCTGCTTTGCCCTAAGGCATTACCCCACCTTCCCATCCCAGGGAGCTGGAGGGTGTCAGGAGAGTTCTGCCCTCCAAAGCATGGACAAATTTTTCAGCAAGAACAGTCCCTCACTATTCCTATCACTAAAAACATTTAAATATTCTTCAAGAGAGTGATTTGTCCACCAATCATTGTATGTTTTCCCTTGGAGAATACAGAAAGAGGGGTCAAAGAACACTAAAATGCAGTTGTGTACTAAAGCTTAAAAATACCCCAATCCCCAGCCTTTTCCTAACTACCACACTGACATTAGAAGCTTCTTCCCAGTTCACAGTTGGGGGTTTAGATAAGTGTTCTAACTCTTTATTGTTGATGAATATTATGTATTCTCACAATGGAGGTACGTGGCCATAAATCAGGAACAATGTGTAATCCAAAGATGTCTGTTACTGGAGTAAAATGTCACACAATTGACATCTCAGGGCCTCCCAGGCTTCACACATGTATCAGCCTCAGCAGAGTCTGAAGTTTGCCACAGCTCAATCCTCCACACACATAGAAATGTGCACCTACCCCATCTACAAAAACAGGGCTGAGATCATATGCCCAACATCCCATCCTCACACAGACAGCGCAGGAAGTGAAGATATTTGTTTCACAGTTGAAAGAAACAGGGAAGACCACCATCAAATGGTATTCATTTCCATGTGTACTGTTAATGCATGCAAACCCAATGGGAAGAAATTATGATGTCTGACTCAATTCAGAAGGCTGAATTATTTCTTTATTATAACTACACAAAAATGCATTAATATGTTATATAAAAGGAGGATACTAAAACTACACACTACTTTCTCTGATCTAACACAACTCGTGACCCTCTCGCTCGAGTCCAGCCCCAGGTGGGTTGGATTGGCCATCAGGCTCAAACAATCCTCACCAGAATCCAATCAAGCACTCACTCCAGGTAAATAATTCTCCAAACACATTCCACATAGGAAAAACAAGGAGCAGAAATAGAAATTGTTTTCTCTTTCATTTCTCTCTGTACACCTCTGTGAAAAATCCTGAGAGGGAGAGAAATGTGCTTGCCACACATGTGTAAGCTCTTTCTTTTACCAGTTGGTTTTGCAGAATCCTCTTCTGCTCTTATGTTTGTTCCCAAAGCTGCTTTACCCCACTTGGCCAAAATATTCTCTCACTGTACAGCCTACTGCTTCTCCTGGGCAGTTTACACTAGCTTAGCTTTCCTCCTCTCCCTCAGCTGCAACATTACTCATGAATATCCATGCCTAAGCCACATAATTCAGGATTAATCATTCCACTCTGATAAATGTCACTGACTTTTGCTCATCTCTTCAACATATTTTTACTCAAGGGCCAAGTAAATGGTAATAGCCAAGGATAGCTTTATCTGGCAGATAAAGGGCACTCTGGAACTCTAAGGATATTTCGCAAAAGCTACAACTGAATTGAAGAAAACAAACCAATTACCATACATTTCTGACTTCAGTAGTTACTTCCCATCCTCCATTAATTATTTTTATTTTTACAACCTCGTAAAGAAAAATAATACAACTTGTCTTTCTAAACACAGCAAACATCTGAACACAGCAAATCACCTGAAATGTTCCCTAGGTGAAATTTGGCTTTCCAGAACTGGCAGGTGCAGGCAGTGAAGGTGACACAAAGCACAGGTTTTGGGACCTGCTGGAGAGCAAGGCCTGCCAGCCAAAACTGCCAGCACCCTCAGCATCACCACACTCCTGCACTGCCCTGACCCCTCTGCAGTTTGCTGCATTTTGCTCACCTGCCCTGCCTGTGCACTAAAGGCACAGCAACAAGCAGCACAGCCTGGATTTGCAAACATCAGCACATCAGGATATGCAAACCACTGCTTTAAAGTCAGTTGCTTCAGGCTCAATGCTGCACTTTCCCAGGAAATTTAAACAGAAAATTTCACCTGGCTTTGCTGGCTGCAGCCTTGGTGCTGAGCCAGGCCAGGGAATAGCAGCAGCAGCCGAGAGGTGAGGGAATTGGGTGAGCTGTGCTGAGGGAAAGGAGCTGCCCTGAAAACAGCCAGTCTGAGGGACAGGGGATGGCTGAGCTGTGATCAGCCCTACGGGGAATTGTGTGATAGTCCTCCTGGTTTTCTATCACATATAAAGTAAATTAAACAGGAGCTTCCTCTTTCTAGCAAAGTCTGAATAACCACATCTCAAAAGAGAGACAAATTTTCCTAGGAAAAGCTTGGATGAGGACAGCATATCACCACTCACACAAGGAGAGATTTCTGACTGAGAGGGACACCTTTACAGCATCTTTAAGAAATAAAGCTTAAATATTCTCACCATTTTCCCTAACCCCAACTACAAAGCTGTCTACTAGATAGAAAAAGAAGAACTGCCTACAGATATTGCCATATAAAACCAGACAATTTGCTCACAGACATGGGAGCAGCACACTCTTGAGTGGGACAGACATTTCAGAACCAAACAGTTATGGGAGCAGCTAAAACACATACAAGGGTTTCAGCAGGAGCTGGTAACATAACACTGGGAAATGCTCTCAGAATATTGAGCATGGCTTCAATGGAAAGTGGACACTCAGACCTCTTCAGAGCCCCTTATCCAGTCAAAGATCAAATTGAGAATTTTTTTATATGTGCTTTGAAGAAGAAACAGGAATATATTACAGGAGACTACTTTCTTTGCATTAAAAAGACCTCTCACACACATTTGCCTGAATCAACATGTGACTCTAAAATAACTGGTCAAGCAGTTTCAACAGATCAAAAACAGCAAGGAAGCAAGACAACTGCTTAAAAATAAAGTCTCTCTTTCTCTCTTGGGGAAGTAACATTTTTTGCTATGGAATTCATACAAGCTTACTTTTTAACACAGTCTCCTGCCCCCCACAGAAAATAAAGGGCTTATAGTAAACTGGCTAGTAACTTACAGTGGTTGTCTTTCTCCTTTTTCTCCATCCCCCCAAAAAATACAACAAAGAGAAACTTCACTCTTATTTAACCAGAACTATATTTCTATTCCGAGCAAACTCTGACAAAAACAACCCAACCCCACCACCCTGCAATGCTTATTTACAGACATTTAATAAACCAAATAAGACAATACCTTTTCTGGCTCACTCCGGGGAGAAATAATCTTCCTTGCAGCAAAGAGAAGAGTCCCAGCACAGCAAAACGAAGCACTGGGAGGCTCAGGGATTTATGTCCCTCCTGTCCTCACCCCTTGTTACTCATTAGGGTTGCTTGGTGCTCTGCAGCTGAGCCTAATTAAGGCTCACAAGGCCCAGGTGTGAGCAGCTCCTGTACTGGCTGTGCCCTGGCAGGTGTGCTCCCATACATACTGGATGACGGGTTATGGGTGGTGTCCTCTCAGAGCAAGTTTTGAGCCTTTCCTTACACCACGACATGGGTGGCCTGCTGAAAATGAGGCAGAAAATAATAAAAAATGTAGATCTGATTTAGCACTTACAGCAATATGGAATTATAGTCAGGTCTTAGATTTCAAAAGCAATACAATTACCTTTCCTTGGGTAGTACAAAACCTAGAGACAACCAGGTCTCTTAAAAAATTCATGTGGTTTTCATGCCTTTTTCCTTTCTCCATAATTAGTAATTATTTTAACATGTGGTTCTGTTGAGAGTGACACTCCTGTAAAGTTGATGGGTATGCATTGAAAACACCTAAAGAAAAGCAACAAGAAAGGAAAATGAAGAAACTTCATATTACTTGGCTCTCCCACCTACAGTGCAGTGTGCCACTGGTATTTTACTTGTTTCTATTCAATATGCAAATTCTACATTGTAGATAACGCACCAAAAAAAAAAAAAAAAAAAAGAAGTAATTTATTTTGTTTGGATTTTTTTTAAATGCGTCTGATTTTTTTTTTTTAACTGGAGAATGTAACTTATATTTCTGAACATATGAAGACTGGAAATGCCTCAGCATTAAAACACAAAGGGAATTATTTCAAAGCTTATAATTTCCATAAAACATTTAGATACATTTCAAATCTAAATGAGCTGCTGATGAGAGTTGTATTTTGTGTCATGTGACAGCAGAATCCCAAGATCCTTGTTCAACCATGACTCTCACTGAAATTTAGCAAAAGATTATCTGAGCCAAGACAGCAGGATTCAGTTCCAGAGATTTCTCTGCAAGGCCCTAGGGCCATATTCATTCTTGATTTAAATCAGACCAGCAGAACTGAAGTCGATAAAATGCCACTGATTTATATCAGCTCATATTTATTGCTATAGCACCCATGCTTACTTCCATGCCCCCACTGTAATCATTCTCCACTGTTCATTAGGTGCATATATAAAAGCTGACAGAAAGCACAAGCCAACTGACTGCTCTTTGCAGAGATCCAAATGTCAGATTTCCCTCATTTGTAAACAAGGTCTGGATCTTACTAATGCTGATGGAAATAAGGATTCCTGCAACCCAGCCCCATGCTGCTCCATTGGGATAAATGAGATAAAAATCAAGAACTGGAACAAAGAGCTACTGTGAGCATTACTGTTTGCATTGCTTTGAGGTGTGATATGCAAGGAATTTTAGGGCTGGTTCTTTCTGTGTTATCTCACTTGTAACTCCAGTTCTATTTAATAATGTGAAACCTGTTAGTGACACTTCTAGACAGTTTCCCTGTTATTTCCCACTAAATTGCTTTATTTCTTTTCCTTTTATCATTGTTCTGCAGAGATGCTCAAAACTAATTTGCATCAAAATGCCCTATTATGCCATTATTTATGGAAAATTACAAATCCCTCCAGTGTCCAAAGACAGACTGGGGGATGCTTGGCTGTGTTCAAACAAGTGGTTTGCTGAAAACCAGTGGGGCAGCTGTGAAGTGAAACCCCTGGCAGGCCTTTGGTTCAGTTCTTGGAGTGCCTTGATGCTCCCAAGGCAGATTCCATGGGAAGGATCCCACATGGTGGCTCCATGCCCCAGGAGGCCCTGTCCCCTTACCAAGGCTCTCTCAGTACATCCCTAATGCTTCTCTCTTCACAAAGCTTCATACCACAAACCCTACAGGCATTTATGCTCCAGGACCAGATTATCTCTCAGTTGGTGTAACCCCCCAAGAAATGGAAAATACCAGTAGATAGCAACTCTGCATAAGTTATTTAGGTCGACCAACCCTCTCCTCTGAAACTCAATTCCTGCTGGCATAGTTGTAACCACAACCTCTTCTAGGTTGCTTCTCCAGAATCTCCACTGAAACTCTATTTCATTATGTCCCTAGTAATGTCATAAACAACAGCAAAAAAAAAAAAAAAAAAAATCACTTTCAATCTACAAAGCCAGTGTGGGAATATCTACCCAAATAAGCTGCTTTCGTTCATTATCCTAGTGGGTTGTAACAGTTCAAAGATATAATTGTAACATGATCATTTGTCTTTTACTCTGGCTTCTTCTAATTTTGAAGGAACAAGCAATCGTACAAGTATATTGTTATGATTCTAATCTTTCTTCCCTCTTTTTTTGTTTTCTTTGTTTTCCTTTCAGAGATATTGCTGGAGCTTCAATTAAACCAGGCAGATCTCTGCTGCACAAAGAAGTGCTCTCAACTATGCACTATACACTGTGCTGTTTAATTTCTTTGGCATGTGCTACTTTAAATAATAAATAGAACAAAATTCCAAAACTAAATCTGCAACACTTGCAACATTAAAGAAGTCTTACTTACCTGATCGAGTTATCTTTCACATGGGCTGAAGCACAGAAACTTTGGTTGAAATTCATAAAGTATAATTAATCTTCTGAAAACGTTTTTTCTCCATGCTAGCCAGTTTTTACATGAGCATACCCCATTGAAAGATGGACAGATTGTTTGTAAATGAGTGAGTCAATATGACTGTGAGAGAGATGATTATTCTGGTGACTAAGTATGGTCAAGGGATGCATGAGTTTTGAAAAGTCTTTCCCCCATTTCAGTCCAAGCAGTAGATTGGATCAAAACTACAGCCCCCTAGGTGCATTTCAGTATGTGGGGCTTGATTCTGATGAAGCAAATCAGTATAAGGATGACACAAACCAGCAGTTTATACAGCAAATTACCTACCAGAATTTTGGACCTGACTGAATTTCCACTGAAGCTATGTTGACTTTATCATTGATTTCACCTTGACTTGAATCAAGGCATTCATTACTGCCTTGAGATATTATTAAGATGCTGTGTAAATTTCTTAAAACTTAAGAAACTTAAAGAGTATCATCTGAGCACAACAGAGCTAGGCTGCTCTTTTTTTCTTATTCAGATGCATATCTAGTGGTTTTAGAAAAACTTCACTGCTTGCCTTATTAATGTCTTCAGGCAAGGAATATAATGCAGTTCAGTATTGTTTGCCTGAAATCAAAAGTAATATATATATAATCTTAATTTAAAGATCAAATGCCTGAATACCCTCAGTTTTGTAGGTTGTGAGACAGCTTCTGTAAATGTTTTTCCCCCATAAGTGTTCTTGATAAAGACAGTAAGATTAAAATGCAGAAGCTTAAATGAGAACACTCATCCAGCTGTCCAAATATGCATCATATTTTCAATAGTAATAAATCCATGTTTACCAACATATACAACTGTTTTCTAAAACACTTCACATGCATAGTTCTCACTAAAGCAAACAGAACTTCTTCTGAGACACTTCAGAGACAACATCAAATGAATTTGTCCCTACACGTTCCTGTACTAATCCAGTAATCATTCCTCAAGGCTTGCTAGCTCTGCTGCCATATGGTTTTCTGTGGGGAGGACTTTAGAATTGAATTTGTTTTGTTCACAGCAGCATCCTTCACTGGAACAGACAAGCATATATTGTCAATAATCATGATGGTTCAGCTCCATTCCCCTCCGTGCACAGAGCTGACACCTTTGCTGAGTCACTCACTGTGACAGGGCTCCCTTCACATTACTCATTTCTTTACACTTTCTGTTGCCTTTTCATTCTTCCCAATTGATGTCTGCATCATCACCTCCTCTAATCACCTTAGCTCTGTGACATCCCCCTTGAATTCCTTAAAACTCTTCTCAGCATTCATAAAGCAAATCAGTATGTATGACTGGGAGATGACTCTGCCACCCTGCAGCACATGGCAGCAATTATGTCATTCTAAGCAGCCAGTGTAATCTTGAATACTTAATGCACAAAGTCCTGAAAAGGCGTGTGGACAAGGGCTTGCACTTGAACAGAAGGAATTAAAAGGAGCAAAACTATTGCAGAAGGGAGTGAGTCCACAGGAGAGGAGACAGATGTATCAAAGCAAGGGATGCATCAATGTATTTATGAGCATTTTTCTGGGATGAGGAAATTCAGCTGAGAAAAAAGGGACTGCTCCTGAAAAGCAGCAACAGGTGGGCTGCCTGCACAGATCAAACTCAGGGAAAGTCACTGAATGTCATTTCTCCTCTGCAGAAATCCAGCTGAGGGAGTACACTGCTCCATCTGGCAGAGAAGGAGTCAGAGCTACAGAGGGGAAATTTTAACTGTGGCCGAGGCATACATCTAAACACAAAAAGCCTTTCATGAGAAAGATGAAATTTAATTTCTGCCTTCTCTTTTCGCTTTCCCATTTATTTTTTCCTTATTTTTTCTCATAGGAGTGATTTTCTTCATCATTACTGGCTGGTCAGAAAACAGTGAAATATCTAGACCATTTAGATTTTATCCCTTAGGGTCATGCCATCACAAAAGGCATTTTACTACTGTGATGTGTAACTTTATTTTATCATTTGTTCAGCTCTAATTGTGATATGGATCATATTTAATTTTTAAAATTTTCTCTTTTTAAATTTTTTTTTGTATATGCTTGAGGTGAACTAAATGGTCCCCATTTGTCATTTCGTTATTTCTGCTCTGCAATAAGAATTGGAGGACATCACATCCTCTCTAAGATGTCTTGATCATCCTTTTCTTTTCTTTGATGTATTCTGAGTGTGCCCTTTCTTTTGTCATATGCAATGCTTTCTTGCAACAACTTTTAACAATTGTGATTTATTTCTTGGCTTTTCTTTTAACCACAGTCTGAAACTTCTTTAGTTTTCCAACTGCCACCATACTTCAGCTTCTGTATCTTGACATTTCCTCTAGAGATTTTTCAAATGATTCTCAAGAATCCATGGTTTGATAATTTTTCTCAATGTACCTTTATATACTGCACTTTAGCTGTATGTAATAATAAAGCATTGAAAAAGATAGACAAAACTTAATTCAGACTTCTTCATAAATATTGATTTAATTACTTTTGCCTTTCATATTGCCAGAGACAATTGCAATTGCCATAAGCACAGAAAGCACATGCTTGGCTTCACCTGAAATAATACTGCCATATTTCTCATGGCTTCATTCAGCTCCTTTTCCTTGAGGAAAACCTAGGGAAGATGGAGGCATGGATCATCAGACTTTATGGTGTCACTGAGGGCACATTAGCACTGTATAACACCTTCCTGTGCTCAGCATAATATCAGCATGAGGATTTGAGGCATCTGCATTCCTGGAACCCAGGTGCAACCAGCTGGGTGTGAGCAGGTGGCACTGCTGGGTGTGCCCCTTCTCCAGGGGACACATGAGGAACCCCACCTCAGCCAGGCCCACTGCCTCTGAGTTACTCAGGAATTAAATTACCAGCATCCCTTTGCAATACAGTTTTCTATGTGGAGACTCCTCAATTTACAGCAGAA